TGATAGATGTCATGTTGCCAAATATAAATGGATATGAACTATTAAATATGTTAAGATCTAACATAGCTACACGACTAATTCCGATCGTATTATTAACTGCAAGAGCTGATGAAAATTTTGGTACTGTTTATTCTCAAATAATAATTATTTTTTTTCTAGACAGCTTTATATTAAATTTTAACATACTATTTTTAGGGTTAGATTATGGTGCAGATGACTACTTAGTAAAGCCTTTTAATTCTCAAGAATTAATTGCCCGTATGCACACTAATATTAAGCTTTCACAACTTCGCAATCAATTAATATCTCAACAATGTAAGCAAGAAGAAATGAAACAATTATTGATTTCAATTTCATGTAATATCCTTTCTGGATTGGATTTAAAAGAAACACTTTTAGAAGCTGTTAAAGATATTCATGAAATATTATCATGTGATAGAGTGTTTGCTATTTCGTATGAACTTTCAGAACTTAGAAAATATACAATAATCGCTTTATCAGAAGATTTAGAGTCAATAAAGTACGTACTATTATATTATATCAAGTTGTAAAATCAATTTAATTTATTAAATTCTAACATAACTTATATTCAAAAAATTTACAAAAAGTGATATAAAATTTGATCAGCCAAAATCAACCTAAAATCTTTTGATTATGAAGATATTAAAGAATTTAAAATAGAAGTTTTACCCAGCATATATTGTGTTGATTTTTGCAAACAAGTTTCTATGCTATCTATAACTATAAAAATACCGGATGGATCTTGTATGGGAATAAAGGCACATAGATCACCAAATGCTAGTTGGTCCGATTCAGAAACTGAGCTATTTCGACAAATATCAGTTCAAATAAATTTAACAGTTAGCTATATGATAGTATTAGAAGAGAAATTAATAAATGAATCACGAGTAAAATTCATTAAGGATGCTGATAATTTCAAAAGTATGATATTAGCTAATATGTCTCATGGTAAAAATATATTTATTGTATATTTTCATTTTTTTCTTAATTGTATTATATAGTAATTATTAACATTTATCTAGAATTGCGTACACCATTAGGAGCAATTATGAGCATTAGTTCTTCCTTTGAAAATGAATCATTAACTGTTCAGCAAAAAAACTTAAACAAAATTATATTAAATACTTCTGAAGTAGTATTATCAACAATTAATAATATTCCTAATATGTTAAATGTAGAAGAGTATAAAAATTCTTCAGTGAATAAAGTTTTTGATTTATTAGATTTGTTTGAAAATATAATCGAAATATTTGGAGAAAGAGCTGGAAATAAACAAATAGAATTAGCTTTGAATTATGATATTGATATTTTACCAAAATATGTAAAGAGCGATCCTGAAAGGTAATATTATATTTATTTTTAAAAACAGTTAAATAAGAATTAATCATTTATTTTTTTTCAATAGACTAAGATTAACATTAATGAATTTATTGTCAAACTCATATGTTCCTTTTTTTTTCTTATAATTTAATAATTCAACTTAATCTATTAATCCTTAAATTATCTTTTATTAAGAATCAAATTTACTGAAGAGGGTGAGGTAATAATGAAAGTCTTATTGGAATCACCAAGTGAAAAAAGCGATAATTATGAAAAGTTTGTAAAATTACTAGTTATACTAAGTGATACTGGTGTTGGGTAAGGTAAGAAATCAATATGTATTATACATATTAATTTACGCATATCTGATATATTATTAATAATTTATATATACACTTATAATAGTGTAAATTCTGAATTTATAAATAATATATGGAAAAGCAATTTAACAGTTGATAAATCAAAGATTTTGCAACAAGATAGTACAGGATTTGGATTATTGGCATGTAAACAGTTAGTAGAAATTCATGGTGGCGAAATAGGAATAGAAAGTCAATTAGGAAAAGGAAGTAGATTTTGGTTTACATGGAATATTGAGATAGTGCAAGCAGCATATGCACAAAAAGCTACAAAATATTACTCAAAAATAATGTTTGAGAGATTAACTAATCACAGTATGAAGTGTATATTATTGATCCATCCATTTAAAAATGTAAGAGATGCAATAACAAGTTGCTTTAAAAATTGCTTCAATATAAACTTATTTGATACATATGAGGAAGGAATTGAATCTGCAAAATGCTATAAAAAATTATATAATAGAGCACCTTATTGTATGGCATTTATCGATGTATATGAAAATACATAATACAGATAAGGTTGTAAATACTGCATTAAAATTAAGGGAAATACATGATGATAATTTATTAATTATTTTTACAGTATTTTCAAACTCTAATGGAAGAGCTTTAGTAAAGAAATTAATTAAAAAAATTGGAGGAAATATTACTGGTATATTCAAACCTATTACACCTAAAAAGTTATTATACCATTATTTTCAAAATAATAAAGAAAAGTTAAACATCTTGAAGACATAAACTAGTATTTATGTGTTAATAATTTCTGATGAAATTTTTTTTAAATTAAGTATAGATGTATTACAAAAAATTAGTATAATAATATGTTAGATTTAAATAGTATATAATTATGAATATTTATTTAGGTTTATATTAGAGGAGGACGCCATGGGTTATCAGATCTATTCATGTGTGATAAGGTTTCCTACATATTACAATATTAAAATGCGAATGACAATTTTCTTTATTTAATTTAATTTGACCTCTTAACTTTCTCTAACCTTTCCAATGACTTATTTGATTGTTGTGATTTATATATTTAGCTTTATTCGAAATAATGAACACTGAAAGCAGCCTGCACACACTTTACTCCTCTAAGTGCAACTTCTCTCAAAATGCAACTTTAACTTCGAGCCAAAGTATATGTTCGTATACGTTTTGTCTCTATAATGCAAATGCATGTTTCTAAAAGTCTGTTCCCAATGAATTGCACTTAGAGAGAGTTGACTGTATTTATCATTTAGTTGTATTTATTATTTAATTTCATTTTGTTCACTTTAAATTAGTGCATAAGTATAAAAAATTATTGATCATTGTTTAAAATAAGAATTAAGTTCATGAATATCTATTATATTGCTTTATTTTGTTCACATTGATTTAAGTAATCATTAAAAAAATTATTAATCAGAGTCCAAAGAATACAAATCTGCTCTTTTATCAATTCATTATGCAAATTCTGTCATGTAATAAAATTTATTAATGAAGATTTTTTTCTAGTTAATAATTTTATAGTAATTATAACAAAATTTTGAATAGATGCACAGCCCTAACTATAGTTGGTGGTAGAATTACTGAATTACGGCAATTACGGCATTTTACCAGTGGTAGAATTAATTACGGCATGGCATCTGATTGCCGTAAAAATTACATGCCGTAATGCCGTAATGCCGCAATGCCGTAATGCCGTAATGCCGCATGCCGCAATTCCATAATGCCGTAATGCCATAATGCCTTAATATTGTAATAATGCGATACGGTAATTTAAGTATAATATTATAATGTTTAATTAATTAACTATGTGACACCCAATCACTCCAAACCGGATACTGATGAATATGTTGTTATTTGCCATACAAGCATTTCATTTACATTCATTAGTCGGTAAGCATAAAAGTTATTTAAAGTGTAAAAAATCTGTATGACAAAGGCAAAAAAATATATATTCTATGATTACAAAGGGAACTTAAATGCGGAAATGTGCACAATGTAATAAATATTACAAGATGAAGTAAGATGTCTATAAGTGGAGCAACAAAAGATGGAAAGTATTAATAAGGATACCCGATGATTGCATAAAAGCATTTCAACTTAGAGCCTTTACGTATGATAATGGATTCCATTAAATGAACTAGATAATGTTAAAAGAATTGGAAAAAAAGGGTTTGGCTCTTATTTTCTATGATATTGTTTGATATGCGAAGCTGATGGTAATGAGTTTAATTATATAAGAGCATATGAACTATTTATTAATTATAATTGTTATATCTTAAGTGATAAATAAAAGGTTTTATAAGTCATTAATCTGCTTCTTAACTAGGCTAATAGAATCAAACAGGACACCCGGGCTATTCAAATGAACCATTTTGCAACCTGGTAATAATTTTTAAACAGACAGAAGCTTAAATTTTATAAAAGTTCATTCTTTACATATGATTATCTATTTAAAAAAAAAAATTAAAAAAAATTAAAAAGTAATATAAATTAACATCATGGGTATAATGATAGTCTATTAATTAGCGAATTAAAAATAACTAATCATGTTTATTTAACTAAATATGAATATGCAGACACATATCATATAAGTAAAAATGACACAGTACTAATTATGATACACTTGCAATATCTTGAGATCCGACAATCAGAATTGAATAGCTTTGCAACCATTCAATTTGTCTCAATGAGACGAATTGAATGGCAGTAAGGTTGTTTGATTCTAATTACTGGATCTTGAGATATGTCAAATGCATCTGTATTATAATATTTTTTACATAGCATTCGAGCATCAATATCTTGTAATCTTGTGATCAGATTGAATTAACTTAGTAATATTCAATTTGTCTTGATGAGACAAAATTGAATAGCATATAATTCATTTACTTGAACTAATGAGTTATAAATTTTCTTTCTTACCTGTATTATATAATATTATTTCCAGTTTATATATTAAAATATAAGATTTTGTTAACAAGTATTCACTTTTAATTTTATAAAAATTTTGTTTTTAGTATGTTATAAATTGTTAGTAAAATTTAAATATAATTTAATAAAATCAATAAAATAACATTTTAATAAAAATAAATATAAAAAAAAAATAAAAATAAATATAAAAAAAAAATAAAAATAAATATAAAAAAAAATAAAAATAAATATAAAAAAAAAATAAAAATAAAATTATTAAATAAATATTTAAACTACAATATTTATGAACTATATATTATAGTATTAAAAAAAACCTGCAACAGGAAAAAAAAATAAAACATAAAGTTGTTCAAAAAATAATAAATTAAAATATAAAATTATATCTTAATTTTGAAGTTCCTTATCAAGAATTGCTTCTAAATCAATATCAGAATTTTCATCATTTTCTGATAATTGCTAGTCATCTAAAAATGAATTATTTTCAGGTTCATTATTATCATAAAAATTTAAATCTATCAATTCTGCTATAAGCAAATCATTAAGATTAGATTCATCTTCTTCATCAGATAAATCAAAACTATTATCTTCATCTTCACTATTATTCTCTTCTTCTTCATCAAAAAGATCAGTATTTTCAATTAAAGCTTCTGAAATTTCATTAATTGTAGTTTCAAATTCATTTTCATTAAAATTTTCATTAGAAAATTTTAATTCAGACTTCATATTTGTAATATAAAATGAGTGAATTTGTGCCATTGATTGAAGATGATTAATATCTAATCTAAAAATAATTTTTAAATATAAATTTAAAATTAATAAAATTATATATTATAAATAGAAAAAATCTAAATGGTGTTTTTATATATATTGTATCTCTCTATATATTAATAGCTATTAAATAAAAATTAGAAATAAGATTAATATTAATTGGAATTAAAGTTAGAATTAGAGTTAGAATAAAGTAAAATTACAAAAGAATCATTTTTGTTAGTTATATAACAGAAGTAACTCTAATAAAATTTTGAGAAATACAAAGTATATGAGACATCATTTAGTATAAATATTTAAAATTATTATTTAAAATTTTTAAATATTTACAAATAGAAATAAATATAATTTAATATTAATATTTAAATTATATTAATTATACCTAGTTCTTTTTTTTCCAATCATCCAGTTCAATATAGAAAAAACTCTTTCACATGCTGCTTGATGAGGAACAATAGAAAACATTTTTAATGCTAATTGTTGTATATAATTATTTGGTTGTTTACATGTTGTCCACCAAAGTTCAGGTGTATCATAATTTTTATTATATTCCATATCATATGGTGGCAAATTTTCTGAATATTTTCGAAGTTGTGTTAATAAAATTTCATAAGTATATTCTTTAAGACGATAACTTTTCCAAATTTTCATAGCATGTAAAAAAATTTCACGAAATACTCTATCTTTACATCCTTTTCCTAAAATAAAATTTAATTAAATTAATTATATCAATTTAAATAAATAAAATAAAACCTACCTCTATATTTAGGATGTAAAAAATAAACAAGAAGATAAGTTAAAATATCAAATTGCTTCCAATACTTATTATAAATTTTAATGCATAGGTTTTTAAAGTTTAAATCTATAATGTTTGAAATATTTTTAATAGCAATTGCCATTTTAACTAATTCTAAAAAACATAATGCCATATTGCTTGATTTTGCTTCAACTGCTTGAATTGCTCTTTTAGCAGGTGCAAGTATATTTTCTAATTGTTCTACATCTTGCCAGAACTGACGATTACGAAGAATATTTTTTATAGATAAGGCATTTTGAAAAATTTCAGGTTGATTTTCAAGAACCTAAATAAAATATAATTATAAATTAAAAATAAACTATTATTTAAAATAAACTATTTTTAATTATATTTTAATTATTATAAATAAACCATATAATTTATATAATAAAAAATAAAATTAACTTACATTTTTAAGGCTATTTTCTAATCTAATAATAGAATTACAACAATTCCATGCTGTAAACCATCTTGTTTTTACTGAAGTTTTTAATCCACCACCTTTTATAAAAGAATTAATAATATCTTCTTGAAGAGCAGCACCAGCACGGTAAGAAGTTTTAAAAAATGTTATTAAATTTTGACATTTTGTGAAAACATTTTTAGCAAAATCTAATTTAATAATATGAGAAGTTATAAGATTAATATGATGAGCAATACATCTTATAGGTAAAATGTAAGGATATTTAGTAGCAATTATTTGTTTTGCTAATTGCATAGCAGATTCTGCATCTGAAACTATAGCTGCAAATTTTTTAATACCAACTGATATTAAAACTTTTTCAATTTCAGAAGCATTAAAAGAACCTGTATGAGATTTGCTTGATTCATCTACTAAGCTATAAATATATTGCTTTCTACTTGGTGTAATAATTACAAAAGCATAAATAGATTTTCCTAAAGGGGTAGACCATCCATCTACAGCTAATAAAAATAAATTATATTAATATAATTAAAATTATAAATAACAATTTAAATATATTATTACCCAAGGTTAAATTATTTTCATGTTCAAGTTCCTTGTTAATTTTAATTAAAACAGTAGAAATTTCTTGACTTAAAATAGTTGATGAAAGAGTTTTTCTTTCAGGAGGAATATAACCAAGACAAAGACATTGAATAAAATCTATAAAATATGGATGTCTAACAGTAGAAAATGGAATACCACAACATATAAAAAATCTAATTAATGCTTGATCAATTCTATCTTTTTTACTTTTTTCAATTTTTGTTGATGATTCATAAAAATTTGTTATTAATTTTCCAGAACTACCATCATTTTTTTTTAATTTTTTATTAGAACTAATAGTAGCCAATATTTCTAAATATTCTATTTTAATATCATTTGGTACACC